ACACATATTTTTTAGAATGCCTGACTGACAATAAAGGAACTGTGTTGATACTAATAGTGTTTTGCCTTGCCCTTTTTTTACTGCATCTTCCCATGACATCATGACTTTCCTGCTCTCTTTTTGCTATTGGACTTTACTTTATGGCTGTACAAACCAGTGACATTACTCACAGCATTCATTGTTCTATCCCTTTCTTTTCCTTTTTTTGACAATCTTATCCTGTACTACCTATGCAGGATTTGTCAGCGTACATTCCTTCCTTCATGTCCTTTCTCATTCTTTTTGCACAGCTATACTGTGCATAGCCTACTTTTCTTTTACTATATAAACCCCTATATTCTACCTTGTAAAAAAAACAAAAAAAACAAGAAATCCAATCCAGACTTCTTCTCTAAATCTCAAGTTCACTGCTCTGCTACTTGTTATTCAGTGTGGTCACAACACTTCCCACTGTTACTACTATTGACTGCTGTCATTGTCACTCGTCACTTTTGAAAGTGATTATCATTTTTTTTGGTTAGAGTCCTTCTGAGCACTACAGTTTGTGCATCAGGAGCCTGCTATCACTGGGAACCTTGTTAGCTTGTCATTCTCAAATCTACCTTGTGCTAAGATTAGCAAGGTAGTGCTCATCCTATATTCATCTCAAAAAGCCCCTATCTTCTATAGTACAACTATCCCTCCTCCTCAAAACCCACACCCATACATCTCTGGGTTTTACTTTGAAGGATCGTCATACATACCACCCCACGAACAACCAGAGCACCCACTGTTCTAGGAGGCAAAACCCATAAACAAGTTCCGTGGAATCTGGGAGGATTGTGTGTTAGTTTGTTTTGTGTGTGGTTTTCTAACAACAGTTCTCATCATCGACATTGCCTTATATCACGTGATATTGCTATTTTTGCTGTGCTTGGTTCTGAGGATGAAGTGTGATTTGATTATGTTAGTGTTAAGTGGCGGCTCTACTATGTTCCAGGTGTGTAATTGCTCTATGGCTGTTATCTCGTTGCTTATTGTTTGGCACCATTTCTTAGTGTTTTGTCCTTTTAGGGCTTGTGCAATGGTTGGCGAGTTAACATCATATGATGCAAGTGCTTGATGGATGATGAGAGCAAACTCTTTATCTTTGTTATCATAACACAATGGGATCCGCACCCGTGTACAGTGATTTTGGACCTTCTGGGCATGCAACCAATCAGTATGCTTTCCAAGTACGCCTTGGTAGCTTAGTTGGTAAAAAGCACCAGACCATGAAAGCTGAAGTCCCAGGTTCAAGCCCTGGCCAATGCATGTTTTCTCATACTATAAACAAATGTCATAATTTGTCATTTGTTGTGAGTGTTTTGTGTTGCCTCATCTGCATCTCTATTTATCCATGCAGTTGTTGCTCTTTCACCATGGTTTAGAGCAGCATAGTAACCAGGAGGAGGTTGTGTATGTTGGAGACATTTGTTGGGTGGATTGCTTGGTTCTGCAGGTTCAGTGGGTTCTGGTTGATTTGATGAGGTTGGTTCATTTGGTGAGTCATTTGTGTCATTTTATATTTTTTGTGTTCAGCATTGACATGGTTGTTAGTCATATTCTCCCTTTCAAGCATAGTAATGCTGGGTAAGTCTTCTTTGTCAGGTTTGAGTTGGACTTCATGTTCAACACCCTTTGCTGTGTTTGCTGAAGCCTACAAATGTAGCTTCCTGGGCCTTCGCTTCAAATTTTGGTGCATTTTCTGTTTTTATAAAAGTTATGCATCCAAATCTGTGAACATTTGATAGATTGGGTTTCTTTTTATTCACCACTTCATATGGCATTTTTTCAAGTAGGGCTTTAGTTGGAGGTCTGTTTTTCAACCATGTAGCATGACTTATCACTTCTGCCCATTGTTTTAGGTAGATTTCCTTTAATCAATATGGCACAGGGGTGTTCGACAATTGTGCGGTTCAGTAATTTGGCTATCCCATATTGTTTGGGTGTGTTGTGAACTGTCCGTTCATGATTGATTCCAAGTTTATCTAGGTAATTCTCAAATTCTTTGCCTACAAATTCTCCACCACCATCTAATCTGAATCGTTTTATTTTGCAGCTGTCATATTGTGTATTCAGGAATTTCACAAATTTTTGAAATGCAGGTAATGCTTCATCTTTTACATTCATGAAGTAGACTGTAGATCCTCATGAAAAGTCATCTGTAAATAATATATAGTATTGTTTTTGTCCCATTGTTTCTATTTGTGCAGGTCCCCAAACATCTGAATGGATGTGTTTGCCATATATTTTTGCTTTGGTATATGTATTTTTTGGGACTGGTAGTCTGGACATTTTTGCTTTGACGCATGATTCACAGAATTCCTGTTCACTTGATTTGTCCAGGGATATTACATCTACTATTCCTTTGGATACGAGCATCTTTGTGATTGGGTAAGCCATGCAGCCCATGCATTTATGTAGGTATGTCAGTGACATTTCTCTTGTCTTTGTGGCTGCATTTGCTGCTTGCTCTTTTGCAGTTATGCTGTATAAGCCACCTGACATAGGTACTTTGGCTATGATGGTACCTTGAGATGTTGTAATGGTGTATGATCTCTTGGTCATTAGCAACAATATTCTGGCCTTATCAATCTGGCTTGTGGCAATGAGTAATTGACTCATGTTCGGTACATATTGCTACAATTGACATACCAGCACCTACTTATGCTTCACTTTTTGTACTTCTACTTTTCATTTTCCAAGTCACATGACTGATCATTAACCATTAACTTTACTTTACGATTTCGGACTTTTCATAGTCACATGACCAATTATGTGACACATCACCTGACCAGTGTCTAGACTCATCATGTGACCAGTCACATGCTAGACATCGGACTTTGAACTTCATTTACAACTGTATAGTACCTCATGTATTTTAGTATATATACTGGAGCAATACATGGGGAGGGACTCAGCAAGTCCTCTTCTAGTGTATACCAACATTAGTATGACAATCTCCCTCCTTTGATAGGTTGTACACTTCCTTTTCCTCCACTGAGTTGTTGTTGTTGTTATTGTGCTCCAGTACCCCAAGACTGTGTCTTGTTGGTGCTGTCACACATATAGGGTGTCTTTTAGCATGACCTTGGTTTGCTTATTGTAACAACCAAGAGTTTGTATACTCTGGCGCACAACTCAGACAAGCAGTAGTGAAGTGAGTGAGAGTGGTTACCCCTTATGATAGGACCAAGTTAGTTGTGGGTAAAAAACAGGAGGACTTGCTAAGGAGTCTCCTTGATCTATTGGGGTATATATACTACTACAGGTTGTTTGTACACATGTACTATACAGTTTGATGAAGGCAGTGGCTGATGATGTCATGGGGCACAGCCCGTGTGACCAGCTCCACTGCGTGGGATACTTGTAGCTAAAAATAAAGAAAGGCAGCACAGCAGAAAAAGGTGGAGTTTGAACAAAATGGAAAGTGCCGCATGGCACAGTGTGTGAAAACCACAGAAGAAAGTTAAAGAGGAGAATGAAATTTAAAGGTCCGGAAATTGTGTATCGTAACACTTATGGCCGTTTGGTAGTGCTATTTGGACATCTCATTTGCCTGTTGCTTCAATGTTATGTCTGTCTGCTATGCTGATGGATCAAGGTGTGATAGTAGTGAATGTCTTGAATTTAGACTTGTCAGGACAGAAGTGTGATATAGCACCAGAGTTGATGACAACGTCACTGTGGTCTTTCTCTGTTGAGGCATTAGGTGTTATTTTGAATGATGAGAAGGCATATTTTTGTTCATCAGGTGGGTATTGAGCTGTGTTTGCTCTTTCCTTTGTCTTTTGTTGACAAGGGCATTGGCCTTCTTTTCCACCCCCTTTTCTCCAGCATTTGTCTATGGTATGTCCTTCCCTCTTGCAGTTGGGGTTGGAGCATTTTTGTTTGACCTTTGCTGTTCTAGTTTTCCTTGCTTCTTTTGGATATTTAAGGCTGACTTGTTTGATTGTTTACTGGTAGTCCAAAAATCAGCCTCTTCTTTGATGTGAGCTATTAACTCTCACAATATGAGGGGACTTTTGGATACTCGAGCAGCAGCTGTAATTGAGGAAATGATTCATCAGTAGGATATGGGGAGAGATGACATTATCATTGCACTGAAGTTTTTGTTTTTGGCAGGTGCACCCATTCTAGCCAATTCTTCTCAAAGTTTCAGCATTTGGGATATGTGACTCTTAGTGTCATCATCTTCTTTGCATTGCATGTCCTGTAGCCATTTTAGGGTGTTAATTTGTACAATCTCACTTTTGTTCTTGTGCATGTGGCATATTTCTGTCCATGCATCTGCAGCAGTTGGTAGATTTTGGATTTGGTAGTGGACACTTCCATGGATAGTTGCATATATCTGTTGCAGTATCATTGCTTCCTTTTGCAGATACATGTGCTTTAAGGGAGAGCTGTTGGAATAATTATGCAACCATGTAGGTGATGTAGGAGGCCTTTGACTAATATAGTCATGGTAGTCTGAGACTTCCAGAACATTCAATTTGATTCCATCCTCATTTAGTTTTGGTATAGTGTATATACCAGATGTGGCTGTCAGAGCAGTGGTATTTGCTGTGGTTATAACCTGTGAGCTGGAAAACTAGGCAAAAGTAATATACTGGAAAACTATTAATGAGATGTTTCTATAGTGTCTGCATAACTGTTGCTCACATGTTAACTAAAGCTAAGGCAGTTAATCATGTGATATGATGTTTCTATGTGAGTGGCGGTGTAGATTTGTAATGAAGAAAGCGGAAATCTGGTGAAGTTCTATATATGATTATTATGTTCTAACACTCCCTGTGTAAACTTTTTAGGCCACTGAGATAAGATCCAGCTCATCCTGAGAGAGACAAATATTGATGTGAAAACAGCTATCTGTAATCCTGAAGATTTGCTTAGGTTCCTGAGTATTACTTGAAGGTCCTGATAAAATAGCTTCTGGGTCCAGAGCATCAATTGCAAAATAATGGCTATAGTCAATTACATTAAGTATATCCTTTTTTATAATATCCTAGAGTAATATGACTAAGTAGAACAGCAGCAGGTGGCTTGTCTACTTGTAGAAGAGTGTTAAACAGAATATCAATTTTTACTAGTTGTCTTCTAAACTGGGTCCAAAGTCTTGCCTTATACATTCCATGGCAGCTAGGGGGTGACTTGCCAGACAAGCACGGTTCACAGACAGGATCAGGAACAGCCTTGAAATCCAGTGTAAGCCCAGTAACCAGATCTCTCTGTATCAGTCTCTTGACATCACCATGATGGTGGTGAGCCAATCTGCAATGCCAGAGCGTCAAATCAAGTGGTATAGTTGCAAATTCAACACAAGCAGCAGTAGATCCATCAAGGAATGCTGCATTGTTGTCATTGATAGCTGTAGTGAATAGGAGAGCATTGCCACACATAAAAGACATGGAATAAGACGAGATGATGATATTGAAGCCACTTTCAAGAGCTAAATACAAGACTGACAGGAGATTATTTCAAAGATCTGGCACATAGAGCACTATAAAGAATTCCACAGCCCTTGCCACTTTGCCATTGATCACAGGATTAAACACCACAAAACCAAAACCAGTTGAATAGACGACAGTGTGATCAGCCAGCTTGATTGGCACTCGATATGGGGTATAGTGGTGAACTCAATAACAATGAGGTGTCATATGAGAAGTGGTGCTTGTGTCTGTATTTCAATCAATGTTAGCATCAACTTGGAGAGGAAAGTGACGATCAGAGGGATAAATGGAATAAAGACTTGCATTTTGAGCTGATTCAGTGACCACAGTAAAGGAATTGGCATTGTTGGGCAAAAATTTGCACTGCTGAGAGTTATTCTGAGCATTGTTGGAGCTTGCCTGAGCCTTATTGCCATGCTTGTAGTGATTAAAGTACCCTCCACCACCTGTTTGTGACTAGCAATGTATCTATGGCATTTATCCTGGGTATGATCAAGTAAACCACGGAAATCACATTGAACATGAGTAGAGGTAGTGGATTGATTGCAATGATGGCAGATAGGATGGGTGCAGGTGCTATTGACAGTGGTAGATGAAGAATGCAAGGCAGAATAAACTTCAGCACAATGACAACAATTAGTCTCTTCAGCAGGAAAAGCAACCCTGAGCTGGGTCTGATTAAGGTACTTAGAAGCAGTAGAGACAAAGTGAAGTGGGCATATTCATCAGAACGTGTCCTAATCATGGCCATGCATGTCAGTTTATTGTCCAATTTGGCTAATATAAAGCAAGTAGGACAGAGATTTTGCCTTCATCAATCCTGGTCACACGAGACTGCAGGGATTTGTTTTCTTTTTTTCTGATAGAGAAGAAGTTGTTATAGGCATTGAATCTTGTCCCAGGCTTCTTAGTGATGTGCACAATAGCCAGTTTCTCCCAAATCTTGACAGGATCATGAATAATACTATCAAGATAGATACACTGCTTTTTGGTGACATTGAGGTATAATACACCATCAGCCTTTTCAGCTCCCAACTTCCATTTTTTTTGTGCTTCAGCATCACAGGGCACTTTTCAGTGCCAGAAACAAGCCTCCACAATCCCTTGGTCATCAACTAAGCTTGCATTTCACTACTCCACTGGGGGTAGTTAGTGCCAGACAAGGGATTGAGCTTGGGATCAGAGTCAGACATGATTGGTGTTGTATAAGAAGATAGAGCAAAAATAAATGATGTAGGAGATGGATATAGGTGATAGAACAGTGGCAAAGACAATGGGGAATAGTAGGAGGCGAGCAAATAAGATGGTGAGGTGGTGGAGAGGGGATATGGAGAGGGTCCAAAAGCATAAGGATAGGTCCAATTATGGTCCACAAAACATCCAAAAAGTGATCTAAGAGGATGATAGGGCTTCCTAGTGCTGCAACAGGGTTACACCTGTGTTTGTTACAATTAACATACCAGCAACCTACTTGTGCTTTACTTTTCTATATTTTTACTTTGCATTTTTCAAGTCATGTGACTGATCACATGATCATTTACTCCTCCTTTGATAGGTTGTACACTTCCTTTCCCTTCATTGAGTGTTGTTGTGTTGTGCTCCAGTGCCCCAAGATAGTATCTTGTTGGTGTTGTCACAGTGTTCCCCTTTTAATACTAAATACTACACTAATATTAACAGAGACATTGCCTTGAGACAGTGTTGGTTGACAAGGCTTATATATAAGTCAACTGTTACAATAATACATTTTTGGACCTTTAAATTTCATTCTCCTCTTTAACCTTTTACTGTAGTTTTCACACTCCGTGCCATATGGCACTTTCCCTTTTGTTCAAACTCCACTTTCTCGTGCTGCACTGCCTTTCTTTCTATTTTAGATACAAGTCTCTCACGCAGTGGAGCTGGTCACACGGGCTGCGCCCTCGGACATCATCAGCCCCTGCCTCCATCAACTGTATAGTACATATATACAAACAAACCTGTAGTAGTATATATACCCCAACAGATCAAGGAGACTCCTTACAACTAACTTGTTGAAGCCTAAAGGGTAACCACTCCCTCATCATCCTCTCTATAGCTTGTCTGAGTTGTGCGCCAGAGTAACAAACTCTTGGTTGTTACATTAGGACTTGCTCTGTTTACTCTCTTGCACATTGTGCAAACCCAGACCCCAGAGTTAAGGGGATAGTGTTATTGTTTAGGGATATCCCATATAGCAGAAGGGTGCACTCTTTGTGACGGCCCCGTAGTGCTCTGGGAGACAGGACAAACACATTTTTTTTGATACACGGCCCCCAGTGTTAAGGGGAGTACCTTGGCTCAGCAGTTGGTGTGGAACCACTGTTGATTAGTTTTAAAATACAAAAACCTCTTCTTCAAATACCTCTGACCAGGCCGGGCACTTGCGTCTGCCAGTTGGAGAAGGGTTGACAGCTTAACAAGCGGACCACCCCCTGACAACCGTTCAGACCAGGGTTTCCCACACCCACCCCCTATATACCCCCCAAATACTATAGTGTGGGTAATTGGAGATTGTGATCTGATACTCAGCTAGGAAGAGGTTAATCTGCAGTTAGCAAGCGGGGACCCCCAGTTACCTTTTTTTTACATTACCAAAGAGAACAAGTCGACATGACGTCGCAACCAGATATGAACAGTCTTCTGCACAGCATGCGTGCGCAGATTCAGGCATTGACAAGTCAGCTCGCTAAGATTCAGGCTGCCCCAGCAGCGGAACCTACAGTTGAGCGAAAGTTCAACAAGAAAGTCGAGATCATTGCTGACCCCGGTGCTTTTGAAGGAGACCGGGCTCAATTTGCCAAATGGTGGATCAAGCTCCAAATTTGGATCAAAGCAAACTGGGATGTGTTTGCTGATGATTTTGAGATAGCAACTGCCGTACTATCTTGACTAAAAGGACCTGTGGCAGGTTGATACGCCCAAGTTAGAATGCAGGAGTGCTACACTGTGAGAGTGTGGCCTACCTGGGATGATCTCAAAGTCAAGATTGAAAAATACTTCAGACCCCAAGCTGAGCATGACTGGGCACATCAGCAAATCCGTACCTTCAAACAAGGAAACATGAGGACGGACAACTTTGTTACCTGGTTCCTGGCCCTCTCCATCCAAGGGGGTCTAGGAAATGAACATGTAGTAGAGTTGTTAAGGGGCAATGTATCACCGGCCATTGCACGACAACTTTACATACAAGATATGCGGAGCAAGAACCTTGCAGCAGCTGCTGAAGAGGTTCAAAAAATTGGTAGGGCCATAGAGCTCTACACTATGCAGTTCGGTGGCGGGACCACCACCAAAAACAACTATTCCCAGAGGAGCCCTGGTTCATCAAACCAAAAACAAAATCACTCTCATGGGTTCCAACCATTTGGGTTGCAACCAGGATGGGGTGCTCCTATGGATATCAGCGCGGTCCAGGGCGGACAAAAGTGCAGATTCACCTGCTTCAGCTGTGGGCAGGAGGGGCACATGGCCCGAGATTGTACAAATGGAGCGCGGGCCGCTCACCAAAAAAATAACCAAGGACGCCAGGCGCGCCAATTAGAAGCAGAGAAACTGTACGATCGGCTCCAGACTCTAGCCAGTTGTTTGTACGACGAGATCCGAGCTTTTTTCTATGACCAACATGTCAATGAAATGAAAGCTCAGGGAAAAGAGTGATAAAATTGGATATTGACCAGACCAGGGATTGAACCTGGAACCTTCTGGATACATGCCAGCTGCTCTACCAATTGAGCTATATGGCCAAGGTTATACAATATAGGATCTTAAACATGACATGCAACCATGGATGTCTTACACAGAATAGCTGCTGCATACTGGGCTGGCTTACAAATCAGAGGTATTATCCTATGGAGTATTGGTATGTCAGAGTATATTCTAACAAAGAGTTTGGAGCTTAGGTCACTTGGGTGCCTTCACTCCTCGAAACAATGAAGTAAACCACAACAAAGTGGCCCTGCTCCGGGGTGTTGCAAGAGCAATAATGAACATCAGGAAAAACCCTTTTGCTATATAGCGCTATATAGCCACCACCTATATATATAAATACATTCATAGAAACTATAGTACTATCAGTGTAATCATAGCTCAGTAGTAGGCAAAAGTTTAACCAAGGGGAGAAATATCTATAATTCCTTCAAACTCTGGATTAATCTAATAAACTTGTTCAATAATAGAAAGAGGCCAAAAGTGTTTAGAGTCAAGTATATTATTATAGGCAAGATACTATAAGTGCTCTTATAGCCTATAGCAGCCTACATAGCTCCTATAGCTGTAAAGGTCATAGTTATAATATAGTTCAAGGTGCTTAAAAGGGCTAATAAATCATCCAGTATTAATCAATTATGTAGCCTATATTAGTGAAATAGTAGTTTGTATCCCTGATACTCACAAAATAAGAATAATGATTTATCCAAATATAAGTAGTGACAATGAGTAAAAAAATAAATCTAAGTCCATGAAAGGTCAATATATAACACCTGTATGATACATTTTATAAGCTCTCATGATGTAGTGGATAAATGTGATGTGTAGCTATAGGTTGCTTAGTCACCCAAGAGCTGACTAGCAGATTGAGAGTTCAGATCCTGTCTGTGTTAATTTTTTTCAATCAGCCACACAACAATTTCCAACATCTATAAGAGCATTTATAGAGCTATATAAGACTTTATAGATGGCAGAGGTTCTATAACAGGTTTGACCACTATAATAGCTTTATAAGTACTTATAGTGCTATAGAGCTCTATATAGCTACCCCCGTTTTTCCTGATGATGTACCCTATCAGGAAGCAACTGGATGCTTGACCTGGATATCCCTCAGCACACGACCTGATGTTGCATTTGCTACAAACACATTAGCTCAGTTCACTCAGAACCCAGGTAAAAGCCACTAGGAAGCAGTAAAAAGAATCATACACTATCTGAAAGGAACCCGTGAACTATCCCTCAAAAATGGTGATGTACATGGGACCATAACATCATACACTGATGCAGATTATGCATCCCAAACTCACTGTCACTCCCTATTCGGACACATATCATTCTTTGCTGGACTGCCAATCACCTGGGGCACCAATAAACAACCCATAATTGCACTATTGAGTATCAAAGCGGAATACATTGCAACCACTCATACACTAAAGGATATATTTTGGTTGCAGAGTATAATTGGCAAAATCAAATCTCCAATCAACAAACCAACAATCCTATATTGCAACAACCAAGGAGCAATAGCTCTGTTGAAGAATAATAAATTTCATCCCAGAACAAAACATATAGACATACACTACCATTTTATCCAAGAAGCGGTTGACAATAACAGGATCACATTATCTTACTGTCCCATAGACGATATGATTGCAGACATCTTCACCAAGGCACTCCCTAGGGTAACACACAAGAAGTTTGTCAATATAATAGGCCTATACTATAATTGAAGGGGAGTGTTAAAACAGAACAATCATACATAGAACTTCACCAGATTTCTGCTTTCTTGATTACAAATTTACACAGCCACTCACATAGAAATGTCACATCACATGGTTAACTGTCTTAGCTTTAGCAAGCCAGTTAATATGTGAGTAACAATATGCAGACACTATAGAAACATCTTATTAATAGTTCTCCAGTATATTACTTCTGTCTAGTTTGCCAGCTCACAGGAAGTGGTCCCCAAGATATTGCAATCATCATAGTGGCTTCAATATTTGTGGGCAGATGTTTCAATTATGGCTTTTGGCTGTCTTCTTGCAAGAAATGGTTTTGTGTACACTTAGGTCACATCAACAACAACACTGTTGATTTGAGGGCTGCAAAGACATAGGTGAAAAGTATGGTTATGAACAAAAAATCCACCAAGTTTTTGGTGTGTAGTGACCAAGTTGCTGGGGGAGTTATGCTATTGTGGTTTTAGATTATTACATGGTGGGTTCTTGTTTAACTTGACTAATATCTAGCTCACTCATCACACTAGTGTATGCCCATAAAGAATATTGTATTTTATATTTGTATAATTGAGATTCGGTTTATATGTAAATACATGTTGCCTGTTTGTCTATATGAACTCTTTATGAGTTCTTGATATGTTCTTTATGTTTCTTACTATTAACTATTATTATGAGCACTTGTGCAGATAGGTAAGTAGCCCAAATAAGGATAGTTTGCCTGACCATATACCTGATTTGGTTAGATCAGCATCAGGCAACAAATATTACATTTCAAATTTACTCCCACTTTATCCTTCACTTTTTCCTTTACTTATCAAACTATATTCCTTTATCTAGTGATTATCATTCACCACTATCTATTCTTGCTATTTCCCCTAGGATACTCCTTTTGGACTACAAACCTCTTGCCCTTGACCCTGGAGGTCTTTACACTATTGGCTCTTACTTACAAACCCAGCTTGGAGCTGAGCTTGGATTCACTACCTATTCAGTATATAAACACCTGTATAACAGTAGGATAGAACAAGTTGGGTCTACTCTACATTCCATCATTATTAAAGAGCAGCCAGAATATTTAATTTAGTCAATGTGAAATCACTTCAAATTGTTTGAAATTTGACGGAAAGTTTTCTAGCTCTACAAAATTTGATATTTTAACAAATATAACCGCAAAACCAAAATATCTCATTTTCTATCTTATTTTCTGATATTGGAAAAATAGGTATTTTAATGGCCGTTTAAGGAAGGGCCAAAATAAGATATTTTGAGACACTTGAAATGCATTGCCCACTTGTCGCCCAATCATCGGCCAATAGTCGTTCGCTCACTGGGTATCTGTTGGCCCTACAATCGCTCCATACGACAGATAGATACACCTACCTGGACTGCTGTAGAATTCAATGCCTGAGAAATACGTGTCAAAGTGTGCTCAATAGATTCAGATAAGAGATAGGTGTTTCAAGGAATTAGACATGGTTATATTATATCACTCGCAACAAAAACAAAAGCCCCACATGACAGATAGATACATCTAAGCATAAGCATCAATACTAATACCATTTACTACCTGTGAGACTACTGACAAATTATGACATTTGTTTATAGTATGAGAAAACATGCATTGGCCAGGGCTTGAACCTGGGACTCCAGCTTTCACGGTCTGGTGCTTTACCAACTAAGCTACCAAGGTGTACTTGGAAAGCATACTGATTGGTTGCATGTTCAGAAGTTCCAGAATCACTGTACACGGGTGTGGATCCCATTGTGTTGTGATAACTACTGTGAATAAATCAAGTAAAGATTCCCTAAGAGCTACACCAGGAACACGAGCCAGTTGTGCTACCCATCTATCAGGATGGTATTTTAATTGTACATTTCTCACTAGTTTTTCGAAATCATTTGGAGTGAGAACACTGGCGTGAGTGAAAAAGGCCTCAATGGTATCCCACCGTATATTTTGAGGCATTGTGGAGCTTGGGTGGGTAAGGACAGGCCAAGGAGCTTCCGCAGCAAAAGGCAGGGTCTTTGAAGGAACAAAAAATTGCCATATGTCCATGAAATGGAGAACAGCGTGAGAGTTGTCCCATTCCCTGTCTAAGCCTCCACACAATATTCGCTGATTTTCCAAGTCAACTTGTTTGAGCTTTTCTGACCTCTGACACTCCTGCTCCCTTGACACTCCTGCTCCCTCTGATACTCCTGTTGAATTTGGGCATTGTTTTTTTCAAGCTCTACTTGCGCAGCAGCTGCCAAAGACTCTTCCATCACTTCCACATTGTTGAACCTGGACTGCTTAACTTCCATATTTTCCCACCTTACAGTTCAAGCTTTCCTCAAGGATTTCTGACATTTGTAAGCCTCTCGAGATAACTTCTGTAGTATGTTGCTAGGTGAGAGATCACGTGCCCGTTTGTGACTGCAAGGGGTAAATGTGCTCTTCAATTTCCTTTTATTACTGATATTAACATCAAATTTGCCCTCAATGTCTGATGCTATCACTGGGTGCATAGCCAAATATATCCATGAGAAAAATCTGGAAAAAAAGCTTGAAAAAAAAATTTTTCAAGATATTTCTCCCATGTCAATTTTTTGCTTTTCAAATGGAAGTGTTCAGCATTTGGTCAAACTCCTGCTGGTGCCTCCAACTCACTTCAGTCTCCAAATCTATCAAATGCTGAACACTTCCACGTGAAAAACAAAAAATTGTTATGGGAGAAATATCTTGAAAAAAATATTTTTTTCAAGC